TAAAGTTGATGTACCGCCAAGCATTAATATAGGGGCGAGACAGCGGTTTAGGCAGCAAGCATACTTGACGGCAGGAAATTGCTTTCAAATTTCCTCGTCTCATTATCATCACAATTGTCATCACCATCGTCAAATATGCCCATCAACATCACTACATATATGACTATGGTGATACCGTGTAGCACATCTGTAGCCGAGTGTGCCACTTGTGTACACCTGTGACGCCACAGCCTTGACGCAACACCCATGACTAACGACTGTATAGGTGGCTGGTTCCGGGGATCACCGACCCAGCTGCCCGGTCTCCGACCAGACCGATTGACGAGCAGTAATGGTATAATTCCTCTTTAGGACAGGAAGCCTGTACATAGGCCTATTGAGCCCCCCTCATCCCCCTTTAAGCCAGGTACTGCAACCTGCCCCCAGGATGCAACCCCACAACAGTTAGTGAAAGAAAACCGTTTCTGTCCCATCCGGGGATTCAATCCGGATTCCTGGACTGCAAATCGAGAACGTACACGACTGTCCTACAACACCCCTTCCGACTATCGTGGGTGCTGGGTACTGGCGACAAGGATGGTACCATGGGAGAGTTCTCTACCACACCTGGTCTGGCAACAAGGGAGAGGTATAAGAAAATCAGTGGAACCATAAGGAGGATTCGAGATTGAACTGAATCCACAGCAGAGAGTTCGCGGGTAATGTGTGAGTCTTGAGTTGGTATCGAGTAGATGCCTCCGAACCCTCCTGAGAGGATTCAGTTGAGTCTCAGGTTATAACTGTTAGCATATCGTGTACACGTTCGACTCTTCCTCAGGACTTCTACTGATTTTCTCAGTGATACAACACACTAATGGGATTTATTTGTGCGTGGGAGGAGTACGCCCGCTTGACCAGAGGAGGCAAGGTAACCACTTCAAGAACAGGTTCGGATCCTCCTGGTTACTTACACATGTTGGAGCTTGGGCAGCGCCACTCATCCTGTGAATGGACACACCGCCATAGCAGCATGTACAACACTCCCCAATAGGAAGAAAACCCGCTGGGTTGTTCATCCTGTCACTTTTGACCATTGGTGGTTCAGCCTTCACTTTACACCACCTGGTGCCTTACTGCTTGTGTTGTGTCCTCTCCCAGTGATGCCCCAGTCAAGGTGGACACTACTCCCAGCCTGACCAACGAGTCATACAAGTGTTGACATCTGTCACTGCCTTGGCTCCGGGTGTCGAGACCCAGTCATATTCTCTCGTTGACTGCCGGTTGAATTACCTGCCGGTCGTCCACTTGACAGCCTGGCAGCTTCCACAGACCGATCTCAGTCGTGTAACAGTTCCCCTCGGGGCCAAATAAGGTTGTTAATGTCGGATGGGGGCGTTAAATCAGCCATGTTTGCTCATTGACACTGAAATGAGCGAAGGAAACAGAGCAAGGGCCCCGCCGCTGTCTTTTGCCTGCCTCTGGTGGACGCACACTGCTGGCATGCCATGATTGGTTGTGATTTTGAGAGCCTTCCTCTTTAATACAATTCAGTCCATCGAGAACATTTAACACACGATGAATTCTCTCCCCTTGACAAGCAGTGACCGGTCTATTTGACACTTATTCCCCCCTAACACAATGAAAGATCATATTAATGTGGTTTAAACACCATTAAACATGCATGTGGATACAAGAACCATTCACCAATTATACATTAATGAGCAGCCAGACCAAATTACAAGGGGGCAACTCAAGTGAGGCGGGATGGTACTGTTTCGTTACATCACCTTTACGCTAAGAATTGTCTTAACATCCTCGTTATTCATCATTGCTTCAAGTTTCCGTCTTCGCTCCTTCTTCCTACCAGTCGTCATGATAAACATAGAGTTCCTTATAGATCATGTGTGCTTCTCAAAGGATGTTTTAGGTCGTTATCATATCTGTTCTGCAGACGAGGAGTCACAGTAACGTGGCTGAAATATGTTGACCAGACCACACACTAGAAAGTGAAGGGACGACGACGTTTTGGTCCGTCCTGGACCATTCACAAGTCAGTTGTGTTGATCAAGTCGAACTTCAAGTCGAACCATTCTCACAATCGACTTGAGAATGGTCCAGGACGGACCGAAACGTCGTCGTCCCTTCACTTTCTATTGTGTGGTCTGGTCAACATGTGTTCTGTATGTAGGATGGTGCGGTGCATTTCCCTCACTTTTTCAGCTAAACTTAGTCCTTAAACCGCAAGAAAAGTTTTAGCGTTGCTGCTGTACAGTGAGGCTTCCTGGTCGAGTTCTCTTTGCTCAAGACATTGATGAGGTTACCACTTGAACTGGTCAGTTCAGCTCTGGCCTCGCTTCTTGCAGGGTTTGAGTTCCATCCCCATAGTCCCAAGTGGTTGGACACTGTATATCCTAGCCTCCCTGTCCTGGCCTCATACCCCTTCAGTACGATTTGTAGTCTTAATGGCTTAGCGTTTTCCCATGACAATATACCTTACCATGAGGCTTATTAGAGCCATCTTGCCTTGTTTTGTGGTGCTCATATGAACCGTCTTGCCCATTTTACAGTGTCAAAAAGGATTCATGTGAATAGAACGATTTTTTTTTTTACACAGGCAGGTACTGAGACAGACTCCTGCATGCAGGGTGAGAGCCTTCCATTGCTCATGGGAAGCTATGGGAAGGCTCTGATAAGCCTTGCTCACTAGTCTCCTTGGAACACCACCAGGATGTGTCATGCCTCACAGGGCAGGATGGTGTCATGCCTCACAGGGCAGGATGGTGTCATGCCTCACAGGGCAGGATGGTGTCTAACACCAGAATTATGAGGTTACTATCACTCACCTAATTGTGCTTGCGGGGGTTGAGCTTTGGCTCATTGGTCCCGCCTCTCAACTGTCAATCAACAGGTGTACAGGTTCCTGAGCCTACTGGGCTCTATCATATCTACATTTCCTATCATTAAGTGATTTGCCAATTAAGATACAGTCGAACTTCGGGCGTTCGAACTCAGGTTTCAAAAGTGCGAGATTGTCTTCCAGCCGAGCAAATCATGGATGCTGACACTAGGCGTCTCAGAAGTGACCCAACTGATACTTCACCCTTGTAATGTGTTTCCAAGCTCCAAAGAGAAGACACCGATGGCTGCAGTGTGCCTCCGGTGTGAGTGTCGGAAATATATCCACTCCCAGATAGATGTCGTCAGGTCTCCTCTCTCTCCTTTTCCAATCTTCATTACCTTACACTTGTTGGGATTGAATTCCAGCAACCATGTATTTGACCACTCCTGGAGTTTGTCAAGGTTCTCCTGTTACATGCCTAAGCACTTGGTCTGGATGGTAGAGCGACGGTCTCGCTTCATGCAGGTCGGCGTTCAATCCCCGACCATCCATGTGGCTGGGCACCATTCCTTCCCTCCGTCCCACCCCAAAACCTTATCCTGACCCCTTCCAAGTGCTAAATAGTCGTAATGGCTTGGCGCTTTCCCCTAATAATCCCCCTCTCCTGTTACGCCCTGTAGTCCTCGTCTGTTTTCATGTTCCTTATCAACTTTACATCAGCAAACATTAACACGTGTGAACTCACTCCGTCGGGCAGGTCGCTCACATAAATTAGGAACAACAGCGGCCCCAGGAGAGGGCCTTGTGGTACCCCACTTGTTACACTCCACCAGCCTCAACCATTCTCTCTGACTATGACTCCTTGCTTTCCGTCCTTCGGTTACTCCCTTACTCAGTTTAGTGTTTCCCCAGTTATCTATTTTTCCCCCAAGTTCACAAAGTCGACCCTCTCAAGATGCTGCCCCATTCCCTGATTACTTTAGTGTCTCCTTTCTATCCCGTTTGAACACTGGAAATATTGAGCCCTGGTAATGTAAGTTCGAACCCTTGTCGGGCTCGATTTGAAGCCAGAACAATTTTATTTGCCTCTGTCGCGAACGGAGGACATTAGCATCCCTATCGGTGTACAATTCGTCTGGAAATTCAACAATGACATCAGTTTGTCCACCTGAGACCTGGTTGATGACGTCAACGTGCACCAAAGGCCTTTATGGTGACATCAAGAAGCACAAGAGGCCTTGATAAGGACATCAGTGTGAAGAAACTTTGATGGTGACATTAGTGCCATCAATGACATCAATCGCACTAGAGACCATGAAGACATCAAAGAACATGATGACATCAAAGACCATTATGACGACATCACAGACATGATGATAACATAAATGACCGTAATGATGACATCAGTGCCACCAATGACTTTGATGATGTCAGTGCCACCATTGACCTTGATGACATCAGACCCCACCATAGACCTCGATGATGACATCAATGATGATCTTGATGATAACATCAGCGCCACCATTGACCGTGATGATGTGCCACCATAGACCGCATTCATGACATCAAATCCGCCGCATGCCAGCCGTAGTGACGTCAGACAGAACTAAAGAGAAAAATACGAATATCAAAATATAATCCTTAAATTAAAAAGACAATTCAAGACACGGCGCAGAAAAAAAACAAGACAATGGAAGCTAAAAAAAAAAAAAAGAAATATATGGAAACAACATGTGGAGTGAATGTGAGGCGAGACAAAACACTTGCCACACGCGCCATGGCTGATGAGCCACACGAAGCCAGAACAAACTCAAATAAAGTGTTTATAAAAAATTTATCCTAAGAGTACTACGGCGCGCAGTGAATATCAATACTCGTAAGTGCTGCCCTCCCCCCCTCGAGCAATGTTTGACCTCAAGGGTATAATACTATTGACTACTCAAGTGGTAATTAAAGACAGTTTGTTTATAGCACTTCAGCGTCGAACGGTGCATATATATATATATATATATTTTCCCACGGGGAGGCATATATGTGTACAGGTATATATATCAAATGGTGTAATTAACAGCAACTGCTGTCCTTGCACGGGGTGTGACACAGCTCACACAGCAACAAGGTCCATCAAAACAAGAGCATCTATGTCAACAAGACGGGTTGTGTAGTGTGGTCCGCCTTCCTTCCTTCCCCCAGCGCTGGTGGCGCTAGTGCCGGGGAAAGTCGCTAGGGGTGTCCTTCCTCTCCACCCTCCACGCCACACGAGGGGAAAAAAATATATTAGAAGTGTAAGCTTTCTAGAGCCGTAATTTACCTAAAGTACGTCTCTTCCCACCAAATACACCACACACATGAACCCCAAACTTTTCCAAGTAGGCTGGCTGCTACACGCTGAGGTGTGTGTGTGTGTGTGTTTGTGTTAGTGAACCGCGCTACTGTTTTCAGCTCTTTGGTTTCGGGGTTGAGTCAGAGGTCTTAGGTGTGCCCCCGTGGGCTTGCCAGGACAATTTGCGTGTGCGTGTGCGTGTGTGCGTGTGGGAGCTGGCGGGCGTCGCTGACTAGCCGGCCCCGCGTTAAAGAGTAGCACGTCGGAATCTGTGTAAGCCTCGTTGCTCTGTGCTCAGGCCGGCGGGGAGACCACTGCAAGCCACAGTTTTCGTCCTCTGTTCTCGCCTGTCGCGCCCTTACCGGTGATATTTTGCGTTGGAAATTGAAGCAGGGGCAATATACTGTGATGGCCGTGTGTTAGAAATGCTTAAAAGAGCAGTAGAGCTAAGAAAACCAAGTGAAAATCAACCGATCTTCGCTGCCCGATGGCGGTGGTGACCAGTAGGTGCGCTGACGACCCGCACTTAACAGACCAACAATGAAGTGTTAACCTGTGGTGGTGCGTCGTAGTTGAGTGCTGGCGTGGCACCTACGTTGTCATGTGTAAGAGCAAGCCGCCGTTGTGGCCAGAGTCTCCAAACATCTTCTACCATGTCAGGTAAGTGTCCGGAGCGGCAGTGGAAGCTCCATCACCACCCACGGATCCGGACAAGTACACCGATCACAAGCACTTTTTTTTGTTATTTTTTGTTTTGTTTGCCTCATCTGGTGTTGTTTCGCTCGGAACTGGGATTCCAGAGCGTGAACGCGTGGTCGGGAGGTGGTCACGCTGCATTTCACACGAATCTGTACCGGTTTTGAGGCGTGAGGAGAGGAGTGTGTTATATTTGGGAGGGGGAGGTGTTGGCAGGCCTGGTGTATTCGTTCTCATTCACCATGAGCTGTGACACCCAGCCACACACACTCCATGTTTTGACTCCACCCGGCCCTCCACACCTTCCCACCTCCTCCACCCTTCCTCCTCACAATTATACATCTATCTCTCCTCCCTGTAGAGAGTCAAACTCGTGGAGGATAAGCTGGTGGGGGCGAGGATAATGGAGGGAGGACATGACACAGATACCACCAGTACCTCCAGCGTGTCGGGCCAAGGTCTCTGCTCCGCCACCCCGGGTCCCTCCTCACTCCTTCCTTCCCCCCATCTCACCTTCCCTCCCTCCCTCCCTCTCTCCCTCGCTCCCAGACCCCTCCCTCCCTCTCTCCCTCACCCCTCCCTGCGCCCCGCTGCATTCGTATATAACCGAACATCTTGTCTATCAAATCACCGTCGCAAAGCATTTCTCTAAAAATAATCCGGACCCATGTGGCCTCGTCCCAGCCTGCAGCGACTCGACCATATAGGCACCAGCGCCCGATTCAAAGGCTATTGATGATGATGATGCGTTTGTTGCAGGAGCAAGTAGCAAAAACGCAGGTTCGGAGTGTGTTTTTGTTTTGTTTTTTTGTGTGTTCCTGTAGGACACGTCAGCAGGCACGGGACCCACGCCCCATGTGACTGCGGTTGAACCTCCTCCCCCACCACCACACTGTTGTGTCTAGCAAACTGGTTTGGGCAGAGAGAGAGAGAGATATTCGACGTAACTAAACAAATAGTTACCCCTGCCCGAAACGCCATGCGTGTTAGTGGCTTTGCATGAATGTAAAAATACCATTCGTATGTAAAGTCACCAGCCCATTGTACCTTCTTGTAAATAAAAAGTATTATTATTATTATTTTATTATTATTATTATTATTATTATTATTATTATTATTATTATTATTATAAGTGCTAAAAATAAACTTGAATACAAAATTTGGATAATAACGGGACTAATAAGATGCCTAATGCTTGAGTGTATTATTGTCTTATATTTGACATATATGTCTGTAGTAGCACAAGTCTTGTAGAGAGGTTTTAAGAACGTGTTCCTCTTCTTTTGTTTATTAGACAAAGCAATGATTTACAAGTAAAACAAATAAAGATTATAAATAATTTACTTCTATATTAACTAGCCGTATGTGGTTAAGAAAAAAAATATAAATATAAATATATATATATATATATATATATATATATATATATATATATATATATATATATATACATTAAACACAACAGCATTTAATGCTAATAAAGCAACAATAGGGTGTGGTAATGACAATAAACCATGGTTATAAGAACATATTTAATAACGCAATTGTGGAAAGTGTATTAATAAAGAGGAAGAGAGGATTAGATAATAACCGCACAGGGGGTGGAAAGTGGTGGTAAACAGAGGGAAGGACAGGAAAAATGACGAAGGGGCAATAGAGGGCAGATACGGAGAAGAGAGTGAGAGTGAGAGAGGAAAGAATGGTTATATATCCAGAACTATAGAATTGGAGGTAACCAGAGAGAGGATAATCTTGGTGGAAGGTGTAGAGAATAACGGGAGTGAGAGAGAGAGAGAGAGAGTGAGAGGAGTGTGTGTATTGTGATGGCGCTTAGTGAGAGGCCCTCCCTGGCCGTGGCGGGGGGCAGGGGGAGGGGGAGGATGTATGGGAGGTAAGAGAGAGGGATTTCCTGGGGTGTGGTTGGGGAGTTTGGGGAGAGGAAGGGGGCCATGTTAACCTGGGCGACAGCGAGACACGGGGAGGTGATGCCGGTGAAGGGGCTCCCCGAGCAGAGCTTGAATGGTCCCCGAAGCACAGATACCACTACACCTCTATAATCCTTCAGAGGATTCGAACCCTGGCCGCTAAGGGGTCTCCCCCACCAACAGCACGGGAACCATGACCACTGCACTGATATATATATATATATATATATATATATATATATATATATATATGTGCTTGAGGACCACTCAAGCTTTGCTTTTTCATATACAATAATGTTTTTTTTAGGGGGATATTTTGTTAGTTAGGAGGAGGTATGGAAATTGATTTTGTAAGTAGGTGGGGGAAGAGAGTAGGCGAATGTACTGTGGCAGGGAAGGAATTACGGAAGGTGGCTAGGTGGCGGGGGAAATATTGTGGAAGGGAGCTAGGTGGCGGGGAAGATATTGTAGAAGGGGCCCGGTTGTAAGGGTGGGGTATTGTGGGGGTGGGAGGAGGGGGGGGAATAAAGAGAGTAAAGCAAATAAGTAGTAGAGGGAGGGTCAGGGAGGGGGACGTTTTGTTGAGGTAGATAAAAGTTCCCACACGTACCGTAATGATGGGGGGAGGGGAGAGGGGGGGGGTGAACAGAGAGAACGGGCTGGAGGCGGGGCTAGTATGGTGGGATGGGAGGACGGGAAGTGTGGAGAGAGAGAGAGAGAGAGAGAGAGAGAGAGAGAGAGAGAGAGAGAGAGAGAGAGAGAGAGAGAGAGAGAGAGAGAGAGAGAGAGAGAGAGAGAGAGAGAGAGAGAGAGAGAGAGAGAGACGGATTTGGAAGAGGAATATAAAGTAATGTAGAAAGGAGGAAAAGGGAAGGAGGGAAAGTGTGGGAGAGGGAAAGGGTAGTTAAGGGCAGCAGGAGTTACCAGAGCGGGCGTGTTACCCTTCCTCAGGTTCTCCCGCATAGAGTCATTGTTACCAGTTGTCTTCTGGTCTGACAGTTCCAACACCTTGAGCATAACATTGTCATCCACACTTCCCTGGAAATAGACATACACCTGGGCTCTGGGAGACTCGAACCCCCGGACCAGAAGCACCATCCTCCTGCCTCTGGAATCTTTCCTTATTAAGACTACTCAATAGCTCGGTCGACAGAGCTTCAGCCTCACACAGGTGAATGGAACGTTGATTATATATCTACTCTTGATACCCCCAAGACCTGGATCATGTCTCCTCTCGTCTACGCTTCTCCAGGGAATGAAAACCAAACGGCATTAAACCCTCCCGAGGTTAGGGGCCTCGTAGCCTGGTGGATAGCGCGCAAGACTCGTAATTCTGTGGCGCGGGTTCGATTCCCGCACGAGGCAGAAACAAATGGGCAAAGTTTCTTTCACCCTGAATGCCCCTGTTACCTAGCAGTAAATAGGTACCTGGGAGTTAGTCAGCTGTCACGGGCTGCTTCCTGGGGCTGGAGGCCTGGTCGAGGACCGGGCCGCGGGGACACTAAAAAGCCCCGAAATCATCTCAAGATAACCCCGTATGACAGGTGCCAGATACCAGGGAGCAGTATGTCATTCTAATTGAATTTTCTAACAAGAATCGATGTCAACTGTGTTATACGATGATCAGGATTGGACGACGTAGGCTAAGTGGAGCCAAATATAATCAGAGGATGATACAGTATTTGCATTTATTGCTGAGGTTTTTGGCTAAGTGGAGATAGAAGCATTCATAGGTATTAAGAGCATTCTATGCTCTTGAACACTACTGCCTGGGTCGCGGGCTGCTCCCAGCCATGTCCCCAAGTCTCTCTCTCGCTACTTGCTTCTCCCAAATCCGCTGTATTCATCCGGTAAACGATACTACTGTCATTTCATAAGTTTAAATACTTTATATTTATCAATGTTGAACTCGTCTGTCACTTTCCCGCCCCAATCGTGTCCTCCACAAACCTGCTGACATTACCGTTCGCACCAACATATACATCGTTGATACATATGAATGACGAAGGCTCCAAAACATACTCTGGGTATACCATTAGTGACATTTCTTCATTCTCTCCAGCCCAAGTTTGCCTAACCACTTAGGCTGGACGGTAGAGCGACGGTCTCGCTTCCTGCAGGTCTGCGTTCAATCTCCGACCGTCGAAGTGTTTGGGCACCATTCCTTCCCCCCGTCCCATCCCAAATCCTTGTCCTGACCCCTTCCAAGTGCTATATAGTCGTAACGGTTTAGCGCATTCCCTGATAATCCCCTTCCCTCTCTCCACTGCCTTGACGCTCTTTGTTTCCTATCCTTATCATGAGGTTATCTTGAGATGATTTCGGGGCTTTAGTGTCCCCGCGGCCCGGTCCTTGACCAGGCCTCCACCCCCAGGACTAACACCCAGGTACCTATTTTACTACTAGGTAACAGGGGCATAGAGTGAAAAAAACTTTACCCATTGTTTCTCGCCGGCGCTCGGAATCGAACCCGGGACCACAGGATCACAGGCCCAGCGAGCTGTCCGCTCGGCCGACTGGCTCCCTTTTAACCATGCTATCCTTCAACTAGGCTCGGCTCCAAATGAACCTACTTAAAGGTAGGACTGTAAAAGTGTATTCGTAGACTGCGTCCAATACACGTGTGGGGGAAGAGCAGGTTCCTCCTTTTAACGACAAAAAAGTTTTGCAAGGTGAGGAAGGAGACGGAGACGCAGGAATTGCCAGACAAAGTCACCGTCAGAAGTAGTCACGTGATAAGGGGGATTTCTCATTGAATTCTTTATTATAGCTTCAAGGAATGGTAGTTCGCAGTGAGGGTTCTCTCCACCTTGAATATCGGGACCACCTTGGCAACCCTCCAGGCAGTGTGGACTATTCTTTCTGTTGATATATTTATTAAATATTATTACTGTGGCTTCATAAACTTTTTTTCTTTTTACTTTCTTATGTTCCGTTGAACCTCCATTTAAAAAAAAAATCCACCATTATGAAATTGGTGTCTCATTTGTATCATCTGTGAATGCTCTTGTTTTGCCCCATTATGTCTGTTGCGTGTGG